TTCTTTTTCTGGCAATTCAGAGATTTCTTCTTGGTTTGGATCCATTGCTACTATGCTAGTGTGATCTTTTGGGGATGTTAAAGAACCGTGTTTTGTCATATTACCAGAATTGTTTTTCTGGTTCCTTCTCATTTAGGTATAGACTATGTCAGACGAAAGATCTGGGGCTCAAGGGCTGCTGTTCAGATTCTTTTGCCCCACAGGGTGGTCCCTTGATGTGGTACTCTTCCCTTCCTCTAGAAATGGGGCTTCCTCAGAGCTGGACTGCAGTGATTGTTATTGCTCCTCTGGGTCTAGCAACCCAGTAGAGCTACTGGGCTCTGAACTGGCATTAGAGAGTGTCTGCAAAGAGTCCTATGATGTGATCTGTCTTCAAGTCTCAGTCATAGACATCAGTTCCTACTCTGATGGAGGTGGCAGGGGAGTGAAGTGGACTCTGTGTGGGACCTTGGTTGTAGTTTTGTTTAGCGTGTTGGTTTTCTCGAATTCCAGGTGTGCTGGCAGTAAAGCTGTCATGTGGTCAGACTCAGGACATCTGGTTAGCCAGGATGTTACAGGTGGTGGAATCAGCTGTTGTTTTTTCCTTTCTTGGAAAGGAAGTGATGCTCAGCCAGGAGGTGATGCTTTCAAGACAGCATCAGCTACGGTAGTATCAACAGGATATAAGCTTGCCCTAGGGTTGCCTGGATAAGCATTTGGGTTTCTCAGGCGGTGGGCAGGGCCATAGAGTTCCCAAGAGATTATGTCTTTTCTCTTCAGTTACTAGGATGGGTTGAGAAAGACCATCAGATGAAGGCAGGGTTAGGCGTGTCTGAGATCAGACTCTCTTTGGGTTGGGCTTGTTGTGGCCGCTGTGGGGGATGGGGGTGTGGTTCTCAGGCCAATGGAGCTATGTTCCCAGGGAGATTATGGCTGTCTCTGCTGCGTCATACAGGTTACCAGGGAAGTGAGGGAAAGCCAGCAATAACAGGCCTTACCGCGCTCCCACGCAGCCAGAAGGGCCAGTCTCACTCCCACCATGAGCCACCCATAGCACCATGTTTATATCCAGGCAGTGTGCGCAGCGCTGAGATTTTGCCCCAGGCTACAAGTCTCCCCACTGAGAAAGCAATCAGGGCTTTCAGGCTTCACCCCTCTCCGTCTGCCTTGGCTTCTGTGCTTGCATCTGCATTTCCTCTTTGACGCCTCCCCTATATTCCCCAGTCCAGGAAAATTCGTGTTCAGCTGCAAGTTTCATTCTCCCTGTGGTCTTTCCCCAATTCCACTGGCAGCCCTCCCCAAGCACCCCTGTGAGATAAAGTCAGAAATGGCCTCCTTAGTGGCCAGGAGTGTCTGCAGGCTCTTCTCGCCACTTGTTCTACTTTTGTATTTTCCTCAGCTCTCTAAATTCATTTCAGCTCTAGGTAAAGTTAAATCCTTCTCCCATGATCTGGATTTTCAGGTTCCCCAGTGGACTTTCCCCCTCTCACACTTCAGGCACTCACAGATTTTCCTCTGTCTCATGGAATTTGCAGCAGCAAGCTACTTTTTTCAAAGGATCTGTGAATTCTTTTGGTTTTCCTGGAATGTTCCTGTGGTAATTCTCAGAGCAAAAGTTCACGATGTGAGTTTCCAGGCACTGTTCTGTCAGTCCAGTTGGGAGCTGCAAGTTAGTCCTGTCTCCTATCCACCAGTTTCCAAAATCAGCATATTGAGGAGATATCTGCATTCCTACGTTTACTGCAGCACTATTCACAATAGCCAAGATATGGAATTAACCTAATTGTCCATCAACAGATAAATGGATAAAAAATATGTGGTATATATACACAATGGAATATTATTCCACCATAAAAAAGAACAAAATCCTGTCATTTTCATCAACATGGATGGAAATGGATGGACCTTATGTTAAGTAAGCCAGATTCAGAAAGACAAATACCACATGTTCTTACTCATATGTGGGAGCTAAAACAATTGATCCCATAGAAGAAAAGAGTGATTGTAAAAATATATTACAAAATTAAATACAAATTTAAAAAAATAAAGAAGAGTGGAATGGCAGTTACCAGAGGCTTGGAGGAATAGAAGGGACTGGACAATAGAAAGAGATTGATTAATGGGTACAAAATTATAGTTAAATAGGAGGAATAATTTCTCATGTTCTACAGCACAATAGGGTGACTATAGTTAAGAACAATTCATTGTACATTTCAAAATAGCTAGAAAACAGAATTTTGAATATTTCTAACACAAAGAGATGATAAATGCTTCAGATCATGGATATTCCACTTACTCAGATTTGATCATTACACATTTGTATGCTTGCATCAAAATATCACCTGCACCCCATAATGTACAACTATTATGTATCCATATAATTATTCTTTAAAAAGCCCACCAAATTTCTTTTTGGTGGTAGAGTTCAGTTTCAGCACTATTAGTTCTTCCTAAACTTAGCCACGCTGATAAAACATTTACTTCAGACAAGTCCTGAGGTGCGATGTCTAAAGCCAAACAGAAACTTTAAGTATAAATTAGTCATATCAAAACCTGTTAATCTTTTCTGAAATTGTGACTCCATTTGCATCAAATACTACTACAAGTCTCAGTGTGGCCTGTTATTTGGCACTGGAGTGACCAACACTGGTTTGCCTGAGACTGAGGGGTTTTCTGGGATGTGGGACTTTCACTGCTAAAACCAGGACAGCACTGAGCAAACTGGAATGGCTGGCTATCCTACTCAGCACTCAAATATTTGCTGAATGAAAAACAAATCTAATTCTATTAAATATGTGACACTTCAACATGAGAAATGGGTAGAACCTTCAGTTGTCATTTACTCAATTTTCCCAACCAATTTGAATCTTGAAAACTGGCACTTCCTTGAACAAGGAATTTTAAATTCTTTATGTTAAGATGCCTGTGTATCATCTACAATCAGATGACACCATAATTTATATCCCCAGCCTAGTCTCTCCTTTGGGGTTGTAAACTCATATATCCAACTGCTTGACATCTCTACTTGAATATTTGACAGCAAATTAGTCACAATTGTCCAAAGACAGGTGGTGGTTTCTCCCTTAAAACCTGCTACCCTCCAAGGCTTCTCTATCTCAAATAATGATACTCCCATCCAATTAGCTGCTTAAACCAAAACATAGATAAGTCCCTGATTCCTTCCTTTCCCTTATATCTTACATCTAAATCACCAGCAAGTCCTGTTGATTCTGCCACAAAAAGAAATCCTGGATCCATCTACTTCTCTCCATCTCCACCATCAGTACTTAATTCAACAAATCTTTATTGAATGCCTAACATTTCTAAGGTACCAGCATTATTCCAGGAGCTAGCAACACAAGGAACAGAAATGACAAAAAGCCCTGCCTTCATGGACCTTACACAAACCACTACCATTTCTTATTTAGACTAACATAATAAGCTTTCTAACTGGTCTCCCTGCTTCATCCCTTGTCCCCATCCCACCACCTCCAAGAATTCTCTTTACAGCAAGCTGGAATAATCTTCAAAAACATTTTTCCCTACCTAAAACTTTCCAGACTGGGCACGGTGGCTCACGCCTGTAATCCCAGCACTTTGGGAGGCCAAGGTGGGCAGATCACCTGAGGTCAGGAGTTCGAGACCAACCTGACCAACATGGAGAAACCCCATCTCTACTAAAAATACAAAATTAGCCAGGCTTGGTGGCATATGCCTATAATCCCAGCTACTTGGGAGGCTGAGGCAGGAGAATCGCTTGAACGCAGGAGGCGGAGGTTATGGTGAGCTGAGATTGCATCATTGCACTCCAGCCTGGGCAACAAGAGTGAAACTCCATCTCAAAAAAAAAAAAAAAAAAAAAAATTCCCAATGGCTTCTCATCTCACTTAGAATAAAGTCTAAGTCTTTTGCCACAGTCCTCAAGACCCCACGTGTCCTGGTCTCTGCCTCCCTATGCAGCTTATTTCTGTTTCACGGTTACTCCTGCAGGAAATCCTTTACACACATTAATCCTTCTGTCTGAAATACTCTTACTTGAGAGTTTCAGGTACCTGAGATCTTTCAAGTCACAGCTCAAATGTCATCTCCTCAGAGAGGCCTTCCCTGACCACTACCTGCCATGCAAAGTACTTTTTATTCTATTACCTGGTCTTATTTTCTTCTTTGCACTCATCTTGTTTTCACATCTACTGGCTGTTTAAACTATTAGAAATGTAAGCTCCATGTGAGATGGGACTATATCTACTACTTTGTTCACTACTGTTACTTCAGGGACTGAAATGGAACCTGGGGAGGGAAGCAGAGAGGCACGAAGGAAATTGAATCTTACATAGCAGCTCAGCATCTCTCTTTAACAATTTCTACGATTGCCTATTCTAACTACTACTGACTACTGAGTCTCTGTAACCTGTTCAAATTCTTTCAACACTCTACAAAGGAGAACTAGTTAAGGATATAAACATAAAGAAAATTCAGAATCTTAATAACTACTTTCAATGTGTCATAAAATTAAACTACACCACAAGATTCCAAAAGGTAACACCAAAATATTCGTTTGAAGTAAACAAAAAAACATACTGAGACTCCTCTCCTGTCACAGAAGAAACCCCTTCTGTGTGGTAACTGAACTCAGTTTTTCTGTCTACTTCAGACTCTTTTCATTTCCTACTAGAGACAGGTAGCTAGATCTATTAGTATTCACGTGTGCTCACAAATCAGGTTTTTGCTAAAAGCCTAAAGTGAACCACATTTGGTCCTGGGGTTGCATGTTTGACCCTCCCTTATTCTCAAGAATTAAGACTCGTAAGAATTTCTCTGTGGAGCGTTGTTACACTTTACTGAAATTTTAAACTATACTTGCTGTGATTTTTAAATGTCCAATCGGTGAAGAAACAACTATTTCTACTGATTCCCAAAATGATAAATTAAAAAACATTATCTTATTCAAACAATTATTCACCAACATGATAACGACTGCTTTGTGCGTGAAGAGGGGAGAGGAAATCCTCGAACATACTTACCTCTTCAAAGCCCATTTCAAATAAACATTCAACAGCTCCTCTGACAGGCAAGAGTCTAGTAGAAAAAGCTGTGTTTCCAATCCGGATAGATCTATATTTTTCATCATTAGGGTTTCTGACAAAAAACAAAAGTTTGATTATATATGGTAATTTATATTTTTCATAGTGTTTTTGTATTCCTTTTAATATTTTATACTGGCTACATTCCTACATGGTAGCATAGGCTTGAACTTCAAATAAATAGGAAGCAGTCTGGAAAAGTAGTTCAATTTTGTGACTCTTACTTCAGTATACATCTAGCACCACCTCACTGTTTAATTTCACACCTCATAATATTAATGCTGCCACAAAGAAAATCCATGTGACATATTAACTCTGTGCTGTTAAGTCTAGACACCTTAATGAGTCTTTTAGGCTATTTAAAAAAAAATCCATGTAATCTCTGAACAGGGGCAAAAAATTTTATCTGTTTTGTTCTGATGAATCTTCATCATATAGAATGGTGCCTGGCACATAGATCGTGGTTAACAAATATTCGTGAAATGAATGAAAGAAACTAAAAAGTTATATAAAAACAGATCACGGCTGGGTGCAGTGGCTCATACCTGTAATTCCATCACTTTGGGAGGCTGAGGCTGGTGGATCACGAGGTCAAGAGACTGAGACCATCCAGGCCAACATGGTGAAACCCTGTCTCTACTAAAAATACAAAAATTAGCTGGGCGTGGTGGTGCACACCTCTAGTCCCAGCTACTTGGTAGGAGGTAGGAGAGTCGCTTGAACCTGGGAGGCGGAGGTTGCAGTGAGCTGAGATTGTGCCATTGCACTCCAGCCTGGGCGACAGAGCAAGACTCCGTCTCCAAAAAAACAAAACAAAACAAAACAAACAAACAAAACAGGTCATAGTTCTTCAAAGACTTTACTTTCGACAAACGTGACCTAGGTATACCTTTATAGTCACTTGATTTTCTTTCTTCCCTAAATCAGTGATTGTTCTTACTGTAAGTGAAAACAGTAAGTTACATTCTGTGCTGTTAAGTTTAAGGTACATTTTTTTTTTTGAGGTGGGGGGTCTCCCTTCAGTTTAAAATACATTCTTTTTTTTTGAGAGGGGGTCTCGCTCTGTTGCCCAAGCTAGAGTGCAGTGGTGTAACCTCGGCTCACTACAGCCTCTGCCTCCTGGGTACAAGCAATTCTCCCACCTGAGCCTCCCAAGTAGCTGGGATTACAGGGGCGCGCCACTGCTCCTGGATAAGTTTTGCATTTTTTAAGTAGAGACGGGGTTTTACCATGTCAGCCAGGCTGGTCTCGAACTCCTAACCTCAGGTGATCCACCTGCCTCGGCCTCCCAAAGTGCTGGGGATTACAGGAGTGAGCCACCGCACCTGGCCCAAGACACATTCTCAACACAGTACAGCAATAAAAGGAAGATATAAATTTCTTTTACCATAATTAAGATTTTGAATAGCATACTTGAGACAAGAAACCAGCACATGAAAAGTTTTGGTTTGAGATTTTTAATTACTTTGATAAATCAGAAGAATTGTTTGAAAAAAACATTAAAAGAACATAAGGTTAAGATAAAGACAGTATTATATACAAAAGACTCTCAGAACATAGTTTAGGATGATAACTTTCATATCTGACACCAACTGCCTTAAAGTGATAGGACTTCTTTAAGTACTATGTTAAGGAGGATTCTGAGGCAGTGTCTGGGATCCACAGGAAGATGTACTTCCATAAGAAGCCATCAGCCTGGGGTATGGTATGGTGAGTAGGCAAATGCTAGCAAATGACTTATCAACTTTGTCCTATCTAAACGTGTTCCATAGGTATTCTGACATAAAAACAAAACCAAAAAGCAAATATTTTAATTTTATAAGTTTTAACAAATTTTGCATTTGTTTTTCACCAGTCAACTACCTATTGCCAAATGTCATAAATACTCAATGAATGTTTTTACACTTTTCCCTAATTTCAAAAATCATGTAAGTTTATTACAGAATATTCAGAGACAAAAGTTCTAAATAGTGCTATTCAAAATGTCCACAGATTGGTGCTAATCTACAAATTATTTGCTACCCATATGCAAGAAGTACAGAAATCTTTTGTTTGTTTACAAGGGCATAAAAATGAAGCAAGAAGTACAGAAATGGAATGTTTGGTATATAGCAATTTGATACTGCCATGAAATTTTCAGTGTATTTTACAAAAGTTATTGGTCCATAAGGGATTGGAAATTAAAACAAAAACACTGTTCTTTACCGTATGTAATTTGAGAATCACGGATGGTTGTTAAATACAAAGAAAATTTTATTCTCAACTCTTTATTCTGTGTATTAGATTAGGGTTTCTCAGTCTCAGCACCATTAACACGTGGGACCTTTTCTTAGTGGAGTTTCCTTGAGCACTGCAGAACATTCAGCATTCCTGGCTTCCATGCTACACTGTGTTACAAGTGAGCCTCTCTTTCTTATCACTTAAGAAAACTGAACTATATAATAATCCTACATTTATCAAAGCTAGTTTTAGATAAATGAGGCATCTTTTCCTGACACTCAATGTATTTCACAGGGTGATAAACATGTCAGTACCACCAGGATGATATAACCTACTGGTTCAAAACTGCTTGAGCTATTTTAATCTACTCTTTTCCTTACAGCTTTCAGATCTCTACATGCTCGGTCTTTCTCTGGGCGAATTTTCTAGTTTCTTCCTTCTTTCACAATTGTTTAAAAATTCTTATAAAATACACATCAGTTCTCATATAGTTTGGTTTGTTTTGTTTTTAAAAAACAAAGTCTTGCTCTGTCACTCCAGCTGGAGTGCAATGGCACTATCAAAGCTCATTGCTGCTTAGAACTCCTGGGCTCAGCAATCCTCCTGCCTCAGTCTCTGAAGCAGCTAGGACTACAGGCAAGCCACCACACCTGGCTATTTTTTTTTCATGAAGAGATGGGGTCTCACTGTGTTGACCCGGCTGCAATCCTTCCACCTGGGGTGTCCTAAAGCCCTGGTATTACAGGCGGGAGCCACTTCGACTGGCCTTTGTTATTTTGATATATGTTGCTTCCATTTAACTATTGATATACAATATAGATTTTCCTCCTTAGTTTCTAGTGAGATTTATTTATTTATTTATTTTTTGAGAAAGGATCTCACTTTGCCACCCAGGCTAGAATGCAGTGGCATAATCATGGGCTCAAGCCATCCTCCCACCTCTGCCCACCAAATAGCTGGGACTACAGGTGTCTGCCACCACGCTTGACTTATTTATTTATTTATTTTTAATTTAATTTTTTTGGGGGGGGACGGAGTCTCGCTCTGTCGCGCAGGTTGGAGTGCAGTGGCCGGATCTCAGTTCACTGCAAGCTCCGCCTCCCGGGTTTACGCCATTCTCCTGCCTCAGCCTCCCGAGTAGCTGAGGCCACAGGCACCCGCCACCACGCCCAGCTAGTTTTTTGTATTTTTTTTGTAGAGACGGGGTTTCGCCATGTTGCCCAGGCTGGTCTCTAACTCCTAAGCTCAAGTAATCCGCCCACCTTGGCCTCCCACAGTGCTGGGGTTACAGGAGTGAGCCACCGTGCCCAGTGAGCAATTTTATTTTTATATCATCTGTGGACCTCACATTAATCTATTTTTCTCAGTAAAAGAATACTGCAAACAGGGTCCAGCAATGACAGTCACATCCAGTTCCTCAAATTCTATCTTTTTTCTTATTAAATATGTTGAGTAAACTGACCATGGTTTTGTGCATAGATTGATACCAAAGGCCTGACCCTGAAGCCCTCAAAGACTTAGAGGGCTGTAGGGACTTTAGACTTCAAACCCATCATATCCTCTTTCCTATCCCTGGAAAAGCAACGCACAAAGACTTTCTTAAACTCTTCTCAGCATTATTCCAGTGTGTCCACTATCCTTTGAGCTCACTGCCACACCCCTCATCTTTCAGAATCTTCAACCCGGGAGGCAGAGGTTGCAGTGAGTCAAGATTGCGCCGCTGCACTCCAGCCTCATCAGCAAGAGCAAACTCCGTCTCCAAAAAAAAATCAGAAACAAGCCATTAGTAAACATTCCTAATGAAGATTATGATGTTAAATGTCATTATTTGCATGCAAAGGTTTCCTCCTCAAGCTAAACCTCAGCATTTTCGGTTCACTAGATTGAAAGCAGAAGTGAGTCTTCATTACAAGGGCACCTCTTTTCTCTGACTAGTGGGGTTTAAATAGCTTGGTGGCTTTCCAGGCGGTAAGTCCCAGCTAATGGGCTCTGGAGAACCCAGCCTATCAGTTCATTTATGGAGTCCCTTGGCATCCTTGTACTGTGAAGAGCTGTAAGGCCTCAAAGGGTGAAAAAGGTGAGTTGAGAAGGTGTCACAGAGCACGAAGGTGGGCCCCACACAGGTCACAATTATGTAGCTGTGAACAGGCTACATGTTGCATCCTTCATAGCATCTGCCACAAAATAAGGGCTCAACATATGTTCCCTTCAATTTACTTTAAACATCATTACCATTGCCTAAATGAAATATTACTGACATGGATTTTAAAAACTGCACATGTAACTAATGTCTAAAATTGGGTCACATGAAACATAACCTTGAAACTGAGAAGAATTTCCTCTTAGACTTCATGATAATTTACCAACCACTTAATGCACCAGGGGCTGAGGGGAGCAGAGAACCTAATTAATTAATCACGGTGACCTGATAAATGAGGTAACATCACTAAAGCAAGTGGCGCTCCTTTAACCTCAGTTCCATTTCCCTCCCCCAACACCATGTCACTCCGTTAAGACACATCATTTGATCTGCAGAGTTGAGGTGGGTACTCATTCAAAATGAATAATCAAACTTGCCTCCCAATTCCCGAAATCTACAAGGTCCCCTAGACCTCTAGAAGTGCAATTCTGCTGACAGGAAAATGAAGCAAATTACTCTCATCCAAGGCGATTACCTCCACGAATTCTTAGAATTTATATAGTAGAGTCCAGGTATTAATATAAAAACCGTAATTTCAAAATACTATAATGTTTCAATCAACCAAAGTGGGCAGAAGAAAACATTAAAAATTTTAAAACCCACCACTTCAGAAGCATTATGCTTTAGTACTCGGATAGTCTCAACATGGGAAGAAAACATCACTTTGTCAGTGACTAACTTCTGATAAGTATGTGGAAATGTAAGCCACTCCGCTCGAAAAAATGCACGCAGGGGGAATGACACGCGCGGTGCGGTTACGGTTGTGTCCTGATATCTGAGGTCGTTAAACGACGAGAAGAGCGGCAGTGTCCGCAGCACGCCTTCCTACCTCTCCTGCGCCCGGCCCCGTTTCCGGGACTCCAGTCCACCCGCAGCACCCTGACTGCAGGTGCCAAGTCACAACTGCAAAGAAACTTCCTCTTCTCGAGCGGGGGTGGGACTTGGCCGGGTCCCGAGGCCCCTGGCTGGCGGGCTCGGACGTTAGGAGCAGAACCAGCTCCAGGTCCCGGTCTGTCCGGGCGTCGCTGCCCTCCGAAGCTC